GCAATGAGAGCGCTACTCCAAAGCCACGCCAAACGGCGACTACTCGTTATACAAAGCCGTAAAATGGCTACAAGTGCTCCTAGCACGTCTACATCCACGTCTGAGACGGCCTCCTCTTTACGTCCACACCCATTTTCAACCAAGGCCAAACCATTGGACATTTCCGCCGAGTTGATCCCAAATGACAACCTATTTCTCACGCGTTCACGACTCAAGAACCTTTTTCGAACACAGTCAACACAGTCGTTGAGAAAAGGCGTCGGGCTTATGCCTTACCTTCAACGGACACTCCCTCCTCCATCTGCACACACACTCCTATCCACTTATTTCGCTAGAAGAGGAAAGGGAAGAATACGACCGGGTAGTGTGCTCACGGTCACACTGACCCAACCACCATACACATTTTCAGGCGTTTTGATGGCTGTTGAACGAAAAGGACCAGACTCGAATATCCTCTTGAGGAATGTGGTTAGGAAAACGGGTGTAGAAATGAGAATTCCACTCGCCAGTCCGACGTTGACGGGTGTCAAGTTGATTCAAAGGGCTGGAGGCAGCGCTGTAGAAGAAGACGATAGTGCAAAAGCCAGAGCAATCATGAAGCAACAACGTGAAGAGAGGAGAAAGAAACGACAGGAGAAGAAGGCTGCCAAGGCCAAAGCAGCAGGTGTATCGCCCATTACCTCTACACAGGGTACTTCAACCTCCAAGACACCCAAGAGCCATCCTGTCATTCCTCGACGCCTTCGCAATCGTCGCTTACCTTCAGGCTGGGGTATTGGCATGCCTGGTCAAGTACCAACAGTACGAGTCGCTCGTCAACACGAGTTGATCCCAGAAACGCGTCGTCGCGTCGCAGATGCAAAGGAAACGACCAAGGTGGAAGAAAACGGTGCTCTCACGGGCAAGAGAATGAGGAGACAAAGACTCTACTTCTTACGCGACTATCCAAACAAGATGTCTTCCATCAGCGCGGGTATCACCAAGAAAGACAACTAGACGTTTTGTATACATGTCGTTCAGGATTTGTTTACCACTCAAATCATGTTATTTTACGTTTAATCACACCCAGCATAGTATTGAGATGCCGAAGAGGCCTATTAAGTCTAGAGACCGTTCTCCCGATAAAATATTATTCGTTTCTACGGAACAAATGTAAAGTATACACACGGTGAATGTCTAGCAGCAAGCGGGAACCAAGAAAGCGCAA